CAAAGCCTACAGCATCTTCAGGACCCAGGCCCTGGGAAGAGTTCTCAATACTCAAGCCCAATCCATCGACGGAAAGTGGAAAACTGGACTGCGTCAAAATGAAAATCTCTTGCTCCTAAAGGATGCCATGAAGAGGGTGAAAACACAGCCCCAGAGGGGGAGAAAATACCTGCAAACTACATGTCCGACAAAGGGCTTGTATCTCGAATAAGTAAAGAATTCTCAAAACTCAGTGATTAAAAAAGCAAACTATTTAGAAAATGGACAAGAGACATGAAGAGCCATCTCATCGAGGATGTGCGGATGGCAGACAAACAGAATGAGATCTCCAAGGCCGCCAGCCACCAGGGAAATAGAAATGAAAACCGCCTTGAGATACCGCTACCCCGCTCTGAACAGCTAAAGCAACACGACACCACCAAGTGCTGGCGAGGACGTGGAGAAGCCGGGCCACCCACGTGGTGGGACAGACGACGGCACCGTCACTCCAGAAGAGCACGTGGCCATCCCTCGCAGAGCTGAACCCCTGTTCCCTGTGCCACCCAGTGACTGCGTTCTTGGGTATCTGTCCCAGAGAAATGAAAACTTACATTCACGCAAAAGTCTGTATGGGGCTGAAAGATCTTGGAGGTTTACTATGGCCCCAAACTAGGAACAACCCAAATGCCCTTCAAAGGGTGAACAAGGGCAACACATCCACACCGCAGACTTCTCAGCAATGAAGAGAAATGAACTTTGGACACACACCACTTGGATGACTATCTAGAGAACTATGCTCAGTGGAAAAAGCCAGTCTCCTAAGGTAACACACCATTATGATTCCATTTATATGAACGTCTTAAAATGACAAAATCGTAGAGACAAATGAGAGCAATGATTGCAAGGGTTAGGGATGGCGGGTGGGTGGGGAGACGGCTGTGGCTCTGAAAGGGCAGCTTGAGGGTCCTCGTGACGGAACCATTAGCGTCTTGACCATGGAGGTCATGAGAATCAGCACACGTGATAAAACCGCATGCACATGGAGATGCGCGCACACGCACACACACACAACGCACACGCATGCAGGCAAGACTGCTGAAGTCTGAGTGAGGGCCAGGGCTTGCACCAATGTCACATCCTGGTGTGACCCTGCACGGCAGCTCTGCAAGATGTTAACCACCGGGATAAACTGGGTGAAGGATCTGTGGGGTATCTCTGTACCATTTCTTAGAACTGCATGTGTATCCACAACTATGTCAAAATAAAAAGATTTCTTAAAAAGACATTTCTTCCAATGAGACCCCATGGGAAGCACATCTAGGAGTCCATGGGGTGGCAATACCTGGGGAGCTGGCTCAAGTCTGTACACAGCCTGGCCCGCCTGCCTCCTGCCCACCAGGGGCCTGAGATACGTCTGTGGACCCCAGGCCCCAGCGGGCACCAGGCCACAGTCCTCTTGAGCCTCCTCACGTCTCACTTCAGTGGGACCCTTCTTCTTGGGAACCCTAATTTTGGTTCCACTTTCTGGTGAACTTGAAATCAATGAAACTCCAATTCTTTAAGGAAAACATCCCTATTACAGATAGATAATTCTTATAAATTATTACGAATCTGAACTTATGAGCTCAGAGTCAATTTCAAAGCCAGGGAGAGAGGCCCTGGCAGAAACGACCGCTTACTTAAGACCCATTTTGCTGCACAGGGACGCACATCAGTTACCCTCCCATCGTGACAGAGGGAGCGCATGGAAACAGCGAATGTGCTCGTCCTGTGTGCAAAAACAGTCGCCCCTGCAGATGCAGCGTTTGCCCGGGGGTGTGGGATGGTCACCTCAAGGGGGTGGGCAAGGCAGATTGGGGGGACACAGTACAGGGTGGGTGTCAAGGCGGGGCTCTGCAGACACGGCAGAGTTTGGAAAGGCAGGGGTGACGTGTACACAGGGAGCAAAGCTCCCGCGGTGAGACGTTCAAAGCGGGGTCAGCGGACATGCTTCCCTTTCTGCTCTCATCTGGAGCATGGCATGGAGTCTCCAAGGGGCTTGGTGGCCCCTGGCCAGTTCCATCCAGGATTTGGGACAATGAGACCAGGAGGGGACAGATGCTCCCGGGGGAGGGGAGGGACTGCTGCTGTGAGCACCAGCTTCAGGGGCCCCGTCTGGGTGGGGACCCAACACGGCAGCCACTACCCACACGTGGCACGTGGCTATTTGTATTAAATACAAGGAGAAACTTAGCTTCTCAGTTGTAGGAGCCACAGTCGTGTGTGAGCCCCTTCAGCCCAGCAAAGCCAGAGAGGAGTCATAAAACCGAGGGGCCCGGGGCCGGGAGAAGGACGTGGGGGGATGTGGGATCGGCCTGGGATCTGGCCCCAGCTGGCTTGCTGATGTCCCCATGTGAACTTCCCAAACCTTAGAAGGTTCCTATCCAGCTGAGTCAATGCTGAACACACATTCCTATTTGTTTTCCATTAGAACGTGCATCTGAAACCCTTCATTAGCCTATCATTCCAGAAAATAATGACTAACTTCTGGCGGTAGTTTTTCCTTATCCCACAAAGGCACTGTGTAAAACCCTTCCATTATTGTAATTTACTGGCGTAAGGGAAGAAACTGGAGAGACTATTTCCAAGTCCCCGGGAGTCTCCTGCCCCGAGGATGCCGTGCCCGCTTTGTCTGGACATCAGGGTGAGCGAGGGCATCAAGCCGGGTGCAACGGGGCACCGTGCAGCTCCATCCCTGGCTCTGCACAAGGAGGCACCTCACCGGTCCCCTCTGAGGGTTGTTCCGGGAACAGAGGTGCAGCTGGGAGCCCCCAGGGGCTTCGAAAGTCAGCCAACATTTAGTGCAAAAGGTCCCAGAAAGGCTCAAAGTGTCTGGGGAATCAAGGACCAGTCAGGGACAACACCAGCCCTCAGCCTGCCCAGGCCACACCCAGCTATCCGAGGATGCTCCTATCAGGATTTCGAGGGGGCGACAGAATAATTTGCTGCTTTTGTTATCCTAATGAGTAAAGGCAGTTATGCATTTGGGAAAACTGTCTCTATCGATCTATTTGAAAGTAAGATGCGGGAGACTTGATTTGTGACATCCAGGCAGCTTTACAGAGCGTCCTGGGTCTTGGGGAGAGAGGACCCGCCGCTTCTGTTAACGAGAAAGCCCCTTCCCCTGCTCCAGCGGGGGCTGGAGCAGGACCACTGGGGACCCTCACTCACACTCACTCCCCACCCTGATCCTTAAAGAGCTGGCTGTTGGCAGCCCTCATCTGTTTCCTTTGGCTGCTGGTAGCTAATATGGCCACCCGCCGCCTGCCCCTGCCCCTCAGGGGCCTGCAGGGCCCAGCTGCCCAGGGCTCCTGCAGAAATAATGTCATATCCCGTTCCCTTTGCTGACACCAGGCTGGCCCGAGCGTCCCAATTCCGAGAGTCAATCAATCATAAACGCAATCCACCTTGTTGCAGCAGCAGCCCCGAGACGGAGCCAGGGGAGAAGGGTCGATAAATGTTTGCTTTTGCGGGCCCCGCCTCCCCCCAAGCCGGACGCCCACTGACCCCTCCTCAGAGGCCCGGGAAGCTGGCCTCAGGTTGCCCGGCACCACAGACCTTCCCCAGAGCCGGGAAGTTTTCCCAGGATGGGTGCCCGCCGGGGAGCCAGGGAGGGGCAGCCTCTAAGATGCACTTGACGGTTACACGTGACGGTTACACGACGTTCAGATCAACAAGCAAGACCCTTTACTCTAAGTATGTTCCCGATACTCCTGCATAAAAATGATCCCTTGTTTCTCTGAAGTTCAAATGTAACCCGAGTCCTATATTTTAGCAGTAACTTCTGGCAGCCCCAGCAGGGACCTCAGCAGTGGTGCTTGACTCAGCTCCCCACTCGACCTGAGCTGAGCAGTTGTCCCAAGGACAACCCCGCCCCCAATCAGGAGACAGCGGGGCTGTGGTTCTCAAACGGAAGCAAGTGCAGAATCACCTGGGAGCCCGGCTGCTGGCCCCGGGGCCCCATCTGCAGAGTCTGAATCAGCAGGTGCGGCCACAAGCGATGCATCTGTGACGTGTTCCCAGCGGATGCTGCAGGTCCCTGAGCGGGGGTCCCAGCATCGGCTGGGGCTTCCCCCCACACCCACACCAAGGGGCCGGGGCGGCTTCCTCCACCTCCCCAGGCCCTGAGTCTAAAGGGGAGAGGGGGGTGCCCACTTCCTGGTCATTATGTCACCCAGAGGCCAGATGCTATAAAGTGGCCGTTACCATTTATGCTGGGCAGGAGCCCACGGGAAGACAGGCTCTGGGTCAGCTCTGAGCGGAACCAAGGCCTCAGGCACTCAGCTCACCTCCTCGGGCTGGGGAGTCGGCCCTCTCACGGGCTTCCTGTTGTGCTTGGAATCAAACCCCAAGGGTGCCCAGGAGGCCTCAGGTGGCCGGCCTGCTCTCTGACCTGCCCCAGGACCTTTGCACATGCTCTTTCCACCCCGAGTTCCCTCCCAGCCCTTCTCTCAGTGCTGTTCCTCATCACGCATCAGCTCTTGGACCACAGGGCGCCTCCGCAGAGGGACCTTCCCTGATCTACAGCCGGCCCCATGACCCAGTGCCCCGTGGGTTTCCTTCTGAGCCTAATCATCACTGCAATAGCTTCATTCCCTGTTTTTGCTCTTTTGTCTGTGGCCCTCTGGACCGTGAGGTCTGTGGAGCAGGGACCCCGCTCCCCAGCGCGTGCAGTAGGTACTCGCAAACACCCGCTAAAATAAACGCGTCAGCGACGAGTCCCACGGTGCCCCCGCGGCGGCGGGGGCTGCGTGGCCCTCCCCTAGCGTGGGGGCCCTCCCCTAGCGTGGAGGCCCTCCCCTAGCGTGGGGCCCCCGCCCGCCCTCGGGGCCCGGGGCTCACCTGGCCTGGAGCCTTCGTCCACGGAGCCGTTGTACAGCTGGCTGAGGAACTCGGGGCGGTTGTCGTTCATGTCAATCACGTAGATGTACAGGTCGATGGGGTTCTCCACCTTGTTGCCATTCATGTCCACGGCGTGGGCTCGGAGCTGGAAAGCAGCACACGCCATCAGGGCCGGCGGCCGCCCAGCGGGGACACACCTGCCCGGCCGCCTAAGAACAGCCGAAAGCAGCTTCCTTGGACCCACAGCACTGGGACGGTGGTGACGTAACAGCTCCGGGCCCCCCGAGGGGCAGCCCGGGGACACGTCATGAGCCTCGGCTCTCTGTGGAAATGGGGAAGGGTCCCGAGAGGGCAAAACCGGGTGTCCCATGGGAGCCTGACTGACCCGAGGGCCCACGCCGATGCCCACCCAGGACCCACGCAGACCGTCCCCACGCTATTGCCCATGAGGGTTCACGTCCACCTAGAGTAGCTACACAAAGGCCACAACCAGGGCCGGGGGCTTAGACTCCTGCTGCTGAGAGGTCAGGCCTGGGAGAGACGCATGGGGGCCTTGAACTTGGGGGTCCACTGTGAGGCCACCCTGCTGCCCATTCACACCCCGGCTTATCTGTTCTTGGGGCAGCAAAGCGGAAACGGGTCCAGGGGCCCTGGGGTGGAAGCCCCCACTCTGCTGGGGAAGGGGCTCCAGGGAACTGCATCTGGGAACGACTTGAAGGTACAAAGGGAAGAGACCCCCTCAGCTCGGCCTGCAGCGTCCAGAGGGGCTGCTCAGACTCACCCCTTCACTTCTGGATTTTTTTCTTTTATTCACTCATTCACTCATTAATTCATTCCCTCAGTCAATATCTATCGAGGGCCCATCTGTGCCAGGCACTGGGCTGCACCCTAGACTATGGCTCAGTGAGACACGGGGCTGCCCTGAGGCTTCTCGTGTAGGAGGGAGATGGACCCTGAGAAGGAAAGGAAGCAGTACAGAACGCGTGTGACCACAGCGACCCGCTGGGGTGGGGAGGAGGCCAGGCAGAGGAGATGACGTTGGAGCTGAGCCCTGGACAAGGGGCCAAGAGGACAGCAAGTGTGGAGGCCTCCGTGGGGCACGCAGAGTGGCTGAGCTCTGCAGGCAGCAGCGGGGGCTGGAGCAGGACCACTGGGGACCCGGGATTTAGACGGGAAAACCAAGTCTTGGCGAGTGGAAGGGACCTGCCTGGGGTCTCTCCAGCCAGAGCTGTGACTGGCACACAGCCATGTCCCGGACCCCATCTCTCTGTGGAAATCACGTTACCCTCCAAGCCGGACACACCAGACCTCAGGGTCTTTACACCAAGACAGTGCCAAGCCAAGGGTGGCCAGAAGAGCCTGTGCTCCAGGCCTCCGGGGGAGGGGTCTCTGAGCAGGGGCCCCACCCACAGTTGTCCACGCCACCCCCTCGGTGCCCTGCACCCTGTGCTCTGCCAGCCTCAGGGGAGAGGCAGCGGTGCCCATCCTTGCCTGCAGGAGGGGCCTTGTGCTAACTGCAGTACGCCAGCCCCAGCCCGACAGCCCTGGGTGGAATTTTACCCTTGAAACAGTGTGTTTAGTGGGGAGCTCCAGGCTGGCTTCACAGACCAGGTGATCTGAGTCATCAGAAGGGGACAAATGAGCGCTGATTCCCGGGACCCGCAGCCCGCTAAGTGGTGTGGCTGCCCCCTTGCAGAGAGGCTTGAAGTATCGTGTTTAAACGTCTCAGGATGCTGTGCGGTTGCTTCCACTAGCCACCCGCCCCAGCCGCCGTCAGTCCCCAGTCCCGGGAGCCCCGGTCTGCACCTGCCCTGCTGCGGAAGTCCTTCCCGCGGGCCACCAGGCCATCCTTCATCTTGTCAAGTGCAGCCAGGCGATAAGGCACTGAGCCAAAGGCTGAGAAGACTTTTAAAAAGGGTAATTCTGAGCTAAACTTAAAGTTATCTTCTACCTAAAGTGACACCGCCGCTTGGGCCGCTACCTTCAGCAGCAGGAGCACCCCGAGTGGAGCCAATGACAGAAAGTGGCTGGTGCGCTTCTCCTCGCCCACAGCCCCCAAGCTTAAATAACGTTCGATGGTGTCCGCTGGAAATCTCTAAGAGCGCCCCCAGCCCCGTCCATCTCTCAGGCTGCGCACACAGCCGCCGGCTGGGGGACGGGGGTCTGTCTTGGTGGTGGAGACAAGAAACGTCCTGCGACTTGCGAATCTGAGCATCGCACGCCAAGCGAATTCCCGTGATGCACTGTGGGTGCCTGCGGACCGTGTGCGGGACCCTGTTCTCTCCCCTTCCAGGTGCTCGCTCTTCGTGTCTTAATCGTGAGCCATTGGTTTCTTCCTGGGGCATGAGACCCGGAACATTCTATGTCCGGAACATTCTATGTGGGCCCTGGAAGGGGCCTCACGTGGACTCTGGAGGCTGTCTTCCATCACCACCAGCCTCTGGCTCTCGCTGCGCCCTGGCTCGGGCTGGGGGTGCCCCCAGAACTCTACACGCACTGCCTTACCTCAGAGCTCCCAAGAACCCATGAGCTGGGTGCTGTCCGATCCCTATTTTAGAGATGGGGAAACGGAGGCGCAGGAAGATTAGCGAACTTGCCCAAGATGACGGTATGCGGGAGAATCCGATAGCAAGCCCTCTTACGGAGTCCTGAGAGAACCTTCTGGGGAGTCACCTTGCAGGGTAGTGACAGCTCGTCTGTCTCGTGTTGGTGGGCCGCCACGCGGTCGTCTCATGCTGACCCGTGTCCAGTTTACCAGCTCCCTCTCAGGTGGGAGGTCATCCCACCCACTCCACAGGCAAAGGTGCCGGTGGAACTGGGGTCGGGGGGGAGCAGGGAGGATTCTAAAAGGGCCGCAAGGATGTGGGGCACTGGTCTCAGGAGTGAGGGCAACGGGGCTCACCCCGTGATCAGGTCAGTCATGTGGCGGGCTTGGCTTCAGTGGCAGGGAGACTGTCTGGGTGGACAGAGGTAGCCTCGTGGCCTCTAACATCAGAGCACTTTTCCTGGCCAGCGGCAGGCGAGAGCGTGAGAGACTTGTAGCGCCATCAGGGGGTGGGAGCGGCCCCTGGCCAACAGCCGCAAGGAACTGGGGGCCTGTCTGCCTCCAGCGCTTCCCCTCAGTCTCTCAGTCAGCACGGACTCGTTGGCAGGCGAGGGGAGCTGACCTTGACCTGGAGCCATGCCGTGAGCACTGTGGCGGCAGCACACAGCCCCCGTGGGGCGCCAACAGTCACGTTGAGTCGGTGTGTTTCCTGCCGCGAGGCTGGCTGAACACGTGTTGGCTGGATTGTCTCGCTGGTTCTGTGCACCCACCGTGGCGGTTAACGGTGGGCCGGGAACTCGGGAGACCCCAGACCACTGCCAGTCGGGTCTCCTTTCCCCAGACCTGGCTCCTGCCTTCCCAGCAGCGGGTCTGGGGGGTGCGGAAGGGGGCTCAGGGAGGCGTGTGGTGTCCTCGGCATCGAGCAGCTCTCGGAGTGCCCGGAGCTGGGGATCCTCAGGAATGGGCGTAACGCTGGGTGCAGCTCTGGGCCGCTTGCGCCAAGGCGCAGATGGGGCCCTGGAGGCCCAGACAACCACAAGGTGGGGTCCTCAAGCTTCGGCCTTCCTGTCAATCCCACCTCAAAGGGGGCCACGAGCCTCATGGCCTTGTGTGACCCGCACAGTCACACGGGCCCTGTGTTCAGAAGGGCCTGCGTGTGGTTTAATGCTCTGCCGTCACTGTCTTAAAATCCTTAGTAAGCTCGGAGGGGCCCCTGTTTCATTTTGTGTCGGACCCGGAAATTTTGTAGCCGTCCTGAACATAGGGAAGTAATCCACTGAGAGAGGATACCCTCGTGGCTCAGAGGGGACTGCCCGCCCCCCAGGATGGGCTCCCGCAGGTGCACCTGCTTCGGACATCAGGAGTCCCTCAGGGGAGGCCACCGTTGCCAGTGGCAGAATCAGCCTCCTCCCACCCACTCCCTCCCTTCTGCGAATGGGCTGTGAGCGTCCCCCAAGGGCTGGGCTCTGGTCTCGGGCCAGGGGATGTGGTGTGGACAAGCCTGACGGCTCCCTGCCCGCGTGGAGTCTTCCTTCTGGTCCAGGAGGTGGACAATTAACCCGAAACGAATAACCAGCAAACACGAGGCGCAGCAGAGCCTGTGGCCACACTTAGCACCTCGGGCTGGAGCCAAGCGAGCTCAGAGCCGGTCAGCAGGACGACACGGGCAGAAGGTTGTGAAGTCCATCCTCTCACGTGAACGTCTTTGTTTGTAAATTACAATCCAGGAACTGGGAGCTCCGACGTCTTGACGATAACCCCAAAGGCAGCCTTACCAGGGGCTGGGCTCCGTCCTAAATGCCTCATGTGTGGTCACCCGTGAGTCCTCGCAACGACACGCTGATGCAGCCTGGTCATCCACCCCCTTCGCAGGAGAAAGCACCGAGGCCGGAGAGGTTAAGTGCCCAGGTCTCACCTGCTGGGGGCGGGGCTCCAGCCTGTGTGACGCCCGCAGGTGCAGACCCTCATCCTGCAAACAAGGATGCAGAGCCCGGAGAGGGGCCTGGCACCAGGGCCGAGGGCCACTCCCACGGGCCACCAGGCTGTGAGGCCAAGGAGGAAACGGGTGGACAGTCCCTTTCAGCTGAACCCTGAAGTCTCCACTTTCTCCTCCTTTCTCCCTCTCCACGCACAGCTCCGAGATGCAAACAGCAGTGCTGGCTTCAGAGCTGCCTTTCCGCTCTCAGGGAGGCAGGAACAGAAGGGCTGCAGGATGCATGTCTGGCCATCACAGAGGCCGGGGATGGCACAGCAGCCTCTCGACCTCCCCGCCGACCATCAGAGCTCCTGGCAGGTCACGTGGATCCACGTCTTCCAGGTGGATCCAGTTCTACCAGTCGCTCCCCCAGTGTGTCCCAGACCCTCCCAGCATCACCCGGGAACGTGTTACAAGTGCAAATTCTCGGCCCACCCAGCCCCATGAAACAGACACTCTGGGGCGGTGCCCCGCACGCCCCTGGGCTTTTCTGATACAGACTTGGGTTTGCCCTCCCCCCGCTCAGGGACCTGAGGCCATGGACACTCACGTGGTAGGAGGCTCGCTCCTCCCGGTCCATGGGCCGTGTGACATACATCCGGCCAGACATGGAGTCGATGCTGAAGACCTCCACCGGGGGCTGGTCGGCGCCCACGCCCGTGATGCTGTAGCGGATGGGGATGTCGCTGTCTTTGTCGGACCGGATCTGGAAGGAGGAGCAGGTGGAGGGGAGGGTCAGGCGGCAGTGTGAGCAGGGCCACGTTCAGCCCACCTGCTGGCCACACACGTGGCCTCTCCCAGGTGCATCTGGGGCCACAGCCAATGCTTCGTCCACTCTGGGGACCGGAAGGGCAAGCAGAGGCCAGGGGTTTACTGAGAGCTACCGCTGCACATCTGGTGGCCCACCAGGTGACAGGGGAGGACAGGACACAATATTCCAAGAGGAAAGGGTGTGCAGCGAGCATGGCAGAGCCAATGACACCGACGGGAGAGCCTGCAAATGATGGTTTGAAGTGGCTGAGGACCCAGTGCAAACACCCAGCACAGCAAACCTCGACAAAGACGAGGGCAAGGGAACAGCACACTCCGCGGAGGTCTGAGGGCAAAAGGTCGGGGCCAATACGCTTGTGCCCCCGAGCTGTCATCCGTGTAGGAGGGAACAGATATTTCTGGATGCGCAAAGATGCAGAAAATGTCCTGTGTTCTAGCGCCTTTGACAGAGGCCCTGAGGGGTGGGTCACAGCCAGGATCTCAAGAACGGGGGCTGCGACAGAAACGGCCCACGACCAGTATTTAGATACAGAAACTTAACTCTGAAAATTGCTGTCAATGTGGTTTTATGGAGCTGAGTACAAGCACACAAAGTTTTTTTTTTTAATAACAGAAACTGTATATTGTTGAAAAAACAATTTAATAATGCTTATCTGGGCCCCAAATCCAAAGTAAGTTAGCAAAGCCTGAGAGCTGGGGGAAGAAACGGAAAGAACAGAGAAAAATGCACGATTCTGTGTTTTCTGTGGGGTGGGGTGGGGCTACACAGAAACAACATGTCACTTCTGACCAGATCATGAGACAAACATACGTCTTTGGGACACATAAAGGACACCAGCAGAATTAAACAAAGACGTATGTCTTTCATTTAGATGAAGCAAAGACTCTTGTCACATAAAGGGCAGTTAATAATCATAGACACCGTGAAACACTTGTCCGAAAGTGGGAAACTATAAACAAGCCACAAGGATGTGAAAGGAATAACTGACGGGGTCAAATTAAGATTAGCATAAAACTCTGAACACACCTTCAGAAAACACAACTTTTAAAAATCAAAGCCCAGGGCACCATGGCAACATTTTATAATCAAATGGACCACAACGAAAACCTCAAATTGCACAAAGCAAAACTGACCAGGACATTTTATTAGAATAATGCAATTAAAATTTAACGATAATTTTAAAGAGACATTTTAGAAAACATTCTGAAGTAACCACAGGTTAAGGAATCAGAACTACATTTAGAGGTGATTTAAAAACAGTAAAATGACAAGAAGACGATTACACAGTGAAACCCAAGGAATCTGGCCAGAGACTGAATCAGAGCAAACCCTCAACTTCAAATGTTTTCATCATTAAAGTAGAATTACAGTGAATGAACTGAGCATTTAGCTCCAGAAAGAAAGGAATGACAAAGCAGGAAGTGGCAAACACCCAATAACTGATTAAGACGAATGCAGAAATTTCTAAATCTGAAAACAGAAAAATTGGAAGAACTGATAAATAGAGTCAAGAGCTGTACTTTGGAGAAAAACCCACAAGAAAATAGATGTACCTTTGGCAAATTTAAGAGAAAAAACTAGGACTTAAAAGCACATTTTATTCTTTATATTTTATGTTAGCCAAGTCGAAAATCTTGACGAAACTGTTTATTTTTTGAGAAAATATAAAATTTCAAACTCAGCTAGAAAGAAGAGCAAACGTGAAGAGACCACTATTTCTTTAGGAAATTCCTCCGCAAAGGGCTCCAGGGTCAGGTGAGCTTACCTAGGAGGTGTTTGAAAGTTTTCCAGAGCAGAGGACACAAGAGAAAAAGCAATCCCCCTGGCTTTACAAATCCTCCTTGGATACCATTCTCCTCCTGAGAGCACAAAGTAAGGTAACTGCAAACCAATCCCACACAGAGACGGAGATGTTACGGTCAGAACAGAAATACCAGCAGGTGGGGTTCAACCTGCACTAGAGCCGCCATCATCACATCCAAACGGGAGGGCTCAGGTGTGACCTGAGAGTCCTTGTTAGAAGCTCCAGCAGGGCAAACCTCCACGGAGCCTGTACGGTCCTGTTTCTGCTACACTTTTGTAAACGGTCAGGCCACGTTAAATGAGACCAGATTTATTTTGCAAACAAATCGGTCTTATCATGATTACCTTTGGTAGGAATGTGGCTGACTGTAGAGAGGAAACTTAGGTCTTGGTAGAAAGCTGTACATTGAGATTCTGGTCCTGCTTGTTGTCTTTGAGGTTTTATTTTCTACCTGAAACTGGACTGGATCCGCGTTCTTCTAGTTTCCTCAAATATCTGGCCGCGCTTCTCCAAACCAACGTTTCTAATGTTCTCCTGCCTGCCCCTGCCCTCCCCTTTTGGTCACGCCTCACAGTATGCAAGACCTTGGTTCCCCGAGCAGGGATCGAACCCACGCCCTTGGCAGTGAAAGCGCCTAGTCTTAACCACTGGACCACCAGGGAAGCCCCTTCTCCTGCCTTTCTGACTTGGAATCACTAAGAACAAAACTGCCCTTTCCCCAAAGCCCTGCAAACTAAGGCTGGATGACTGGGTATGAACTTCAGAGAAGCCCCCGAAACAGCTCATGTACCGACAGCCTGCCTGCCTGTTGCCATGCCGACGTTCAGAAAGTTCCCTGGAACATGCAATGACCTCATCAGAGGCAACCACACTGCAGAAGATGCTGTGAGATCACCAACCAGAAATCTTCTCGACTGGCTGCCCCCAGGACTCAGAAACGGGTTTAGAGCCTGTTCCAACCATTGACTTTGTTTTTCTCTCCCTTCCATGGAAATGCCTCATATTACACACCTGACTGTTTGCATCCTGCAGAGCCATCCTGCAACCCTGCCTCCTGAAATGAGCCTACTGCTAACTGAACTGAGAGATGGGTTCAGTGAGACGGAGCAACCCGCCAGCCCAGCTGCTAGGCCGAAACTGCTTGCGGGAGTGTCAAAGGTGGGGATGAAGGTTAGCGAGACGCCACTCCCAAACATGCCGCTGGGTGTAGTGACTGTTCTCAGCTGCAGGCCCTTGAGAACCAGCAGGTATAGGAGGGGTTTTCTCTGAGCTCCCTCATCTGCCTGGAGACAGAGACTCAAAGAGGCTCAGGTGTCACAGATGCCCTCCCCCCACGGTGGGGTTATCACCTGAGAAGGATTATTGCCTCTAGTCTTGGGAGGGGGGCTAGAAGAGACAAGCACACCCAGGCCGACCTCCACACGACCACACCTCCCATCCCTCCTCCAAGGGTCCATCATCTTTCCTACAAGTCACTTCCTCTCCCCTGAGAGGCCTACATTCCCCTCCCCTTTTCCTCTTAGACTTGAATTCTCAGCCATCTTGGGGAGCTACTCATTTTCCCTGGGTCCCCCATGTATGCATGACGCACTCGTGTTAATACACTTCTGCTGCTTGTTCTCTTGTTAATCTTTTATTACGGGGGTCTCAGCCAGGAACTCAGAAGGGGCGAGAGAACTTTACTTTTCCTCCCCCTACACGCCTAAGTGGGATTTATCTCAGAAACTAAGGGTGGCTTTTTCTCGGGCAACTTATTTCTGTAGCACAATCATCATCACAGGCTGGTCTCCACGGAGGCTCCACAGAGATTTGATAATGAACATCCTTTCCAGCTGAACCTGGACCATAGAACAAGCCATTCCCCAGAAAACGCCACTTCCCAGAAAATTCGGTCCAATAGAGGACACCTTTCCTAAACCAGCATTTACTGTTAACACACCAGAGTCGACCCCCCCAGGTCATGAGCGTGGGGGCAGGGACCCCAGCCGCCCCAACGGCCTCTTACCTCCTTCGCGACAGGACGGGGAAGAGAAAATATCAGGAACCGATGGTCCGAAGGAGGCGACGCTTTCACCCCACAGGCATCATGGAGGTCAGCGCGACCTGGTCTGCTTGGGGGCCGACGCGGGCCTCCGAGAGGAGCCACGCGCGCGCACGCACGCACGCACACACACGCACGCGCACGCACTGTCCGCGACGGGCGCCTTCGCTCCGGCTTCCCCAGCTCCGCCCTCCTCCCTCTCCTACCGTCACGTCCGGTTCTCCTGGTCCTTGTCCGCCCTGAGCAAGACCACTTAGAATGGCCGGGCCGGACGACCCCCCACGGACCCCTGGGCCGGGGCACCACCCAACTTCTGCCTGGATTGAGGGGGGCGTGGGAGCCCGTACGGCCCTGCAGAGATTGGGGGCGTGGGGGACACACCGGCCCACGCAGTGTGCTTCCCCACCCCGCCCTCTCCGGGCCAGGCTGCCCGTCCTTCACAGGGAAGTTAGTGATGAAACGGATGAAAAGAACCCGCTACACATTTCAAGATTTTATTTTTTTGCAAAGAAATCTCATTACATCCTGACCGTCGAGCCGCGTTCCCTTAATTCTCGGCGCCTTCTGAAATACGCACAGGATGCCCTGAATTCTCCCACAGTTTACCGTATTAAGAAGAGATACTGTGCAGATGAATTCACCAGATCAGGGGAGAGCAGTTTCCCCTTGATTTGTGTCTGGAAAATGAGAAAAACATCACAGCAGCGTCCGGAAGGACCGTGAATAAAGAGTGGAGGTGGGCATTTCCATCACCCATCTCACTTTTATGATGCCACCGAGAATTATGCTCTTTTGCATTTGTTACTAAAGGACAGAACAGATGGTAAAAGGTTAGTTTAAAGTGATGTCGACATTAAAATAACGTATGGTGCCTGGCCATTGTGTTCGCCAGGGACCTCGCTCGGAGGGCTGGATCCGTCCTTAGGAAAGGCGGGATGAAATGCAGGATTCTGGCAGGCTCTCCCCCAAGGAGAAGGTATTTGCCTAATTTCGAATAAACTTGAAACTTGGAGAAAAGTCACCATGTGTGGTTTTGAATTGCAAACGCCCTGGAGGTTTATTCCCAAAGAATTGAAGGGGAGGAGAATC